CTTACGTGCGTACATAAGTACACACACACGTTTTTTTTATTAATTTGCTGAGTTTATTAGAGGTTAAAGCACCAATAGCATATTAAGTAACCGATAGCTTCTCAAACTTAAACGGACATTTTTACTTCGACAATTTTTTTGAGTAAAATAATATATAAGAATAAATTACCTACTCGTAAGTACCTTCTATAGCCACCCACTTTTTAAAACCTTGTTACAAATGTTCCATAAGTAATATCTAAGCTGGAAGTAGTTTATACTATTTTCTTCGAATTACGAGAATATTTAACTTTCTAAATGAAACCATCTTTTCGGACATTTTCGCAGTTTTTTAAAAATCCGAAAGACTTCGAGAAAGATTGCAAGTACAAAATTAATTGTGAAGATTCTTAAGGTTTTTTTCTTCATCAGACCTTATGGTTTTTAGGTAAACTTAGATATTATTTATATGGCAGGAAACTTGAAATATATTTTAAAGCATTAGCAATTTTTGTGTCATGTCTTTAATAAAATTTTGTGCAGGAAACGGTTCAACTATAAACTACTACTAATTATCAACTAAGACAAGTAGAAGAAGAATAATTTAGAATCTCTGTACTCTAATCAATCGGGGCAAATTGAATGCATTGACTTAACACCTCCAGGTAAATATCTAAGAAATTAATTAAATTTCTAATGGCTGAATTCACCAACGTCACCTAAGTTTAAGGGATCCCCTAAGCATGGTTAGGGGGCTGTTAGGGGACAGTTTCTGTTTCACCGACAGTTAGGGGTCACCTAAAAATAAAAATAAAATGCCACCTAAATATAGGTACTAGAAATACGGGGTCTGACGATGTTAAAACGAAGTTTAATTTAGGGGCTAGTTTAGGGGAACTTTTAAGCTAGAGATCCCATACGTAGGTGGTAGCTTATGGGATGTTGGTGAAATCGGGCATAAGAAATCTATTGCTAACTGTAACGCCGGCGTGTCCGCGGTCGTGGAGGCATTAAGGACATAGGAGTTATAATTCTGAGCTGTTGTGGATACTTTTAGTTTTGCGTGTCACGAACGTAAATGTGCAAAGTACATTAAAATTATATCGTAAATCGAAGCCAACATAACTAACCCAGTTTACCTTTCAATATAAAGTAACTGGTGTAAGCATCTATCATATGTTTGATCCTCGACAGTTCGCATACCGTGGCGAAGACGCCCACACCTGGCTTAATACGATATAAATAGATTGACGGTCTGAAACATTATTAGTATATCAAATGTCGTTATTATTGATATAGAGAAGCATTACGTGGTTCATTTTTGTCTTAAGTGACAAACCTTTTAAGCTTTTTTCACATATTTTATAATCTATATCAACTAATAACAACTAACAGAATCAATGTTGCAAATTTTTATTTTATTATACTGAGTTTGTGGTTATGGTCTAAATTTAAAAAAATAAAAGTTTTATTAAAATATCTCAACAGAAATAGCCTTTTATAACCACGTATTGTTTTGCTATCTTATCTTATCTGTGTATCTTATATCTTTAAACTAGCAATTCTTGTATATATATATTTAAAAAAATTATAAACTTTTTTGGGCCAGTAACCCATGGGCGTACTTAGAACAACTTACCAAAGTTTCATCACAATCGGAATATTTAGAAATGAAAAGAGTATAAATATACAGGTAAATATTTATTTTTATTTATATAGATACTAGAGAATTTACCCTCGTTTAGTTCGTGTTCGTCCTAAGGTATGTTTTGACAATTAATATGGAATAGATAGATATAGGTATTACTCGTATGTGTTGTATCCCTTACTTGAGAAATGTTTGAGTCCCCATACAAATTTCTCCTTTTTCACGCCCTTAAGCCTTAAGGAATGATTTCCGGGGTAAAAACTATCCTATGTTCTTCCCAGGGATTCAAACTATCCCTATACAAAATTTTCATCAAATCGGTTTAGCCGTTTAGTTGTGAAAAGGTAACAAACAACCAAACAAACAAACAAACAGAGTTACTTTCGCATTTATAATATTGAGTATAGTTAAACATTTTGTAGTTTTAAAGGCACATTATTTAACACACTATAATTCTTTATTTCAATCCTAACCTTCAATTTAAAGGTTTTCTAAGATACTGTTGTAAAAATGTATACATAAAAATAACAACCCCGATAAAGGTCTTTCTTTATATTAATAAATATAGTTTAACATGAACATAAGTAAACTAAATTAATAGTTACAATTGTTAATCTAATATTCTATAATATTTCTTATCTGCATTTTTTATGAACGGGCATAAAAAATCGATAAAATATCTGTAAACACAATATAAATAATCAACAGAAGCGATATACAAAGTCGGTTTAGTTTTAATCGTAATTTTGTAAGATTCTAGAAAGTATAGAATAATCAATAAATTTTACGTACTAGGTAATTTTTGCGGGTTTGCTTGCGTAACACTTTATTTAGTTTTCCAGTTTAAAGAAAATCGACTTTTCCGGTTATTCATAATTTTATTTTTTTATTTTTCCCACGTTTGGAATGCTTAATAGTATTTGGTACCATTTCTCTTTTCCTTTAAATTACTTTAAGTTAAATTTTTATGGGTAGACTGAAATATTTATTAGTTTTGAGACGTCACTAAAAATCAGGAAAATCGTTTTACAATTTTCTATTTTATACCAGTTATCTATACATATAATAAAATTGTAACGAAGTCGAATCTGTACATTAAATATTTTTTGGAAAATCTTATTGAAATAGACATTATTATCGATACAAAGGCTGAATCTATAGTTTTTAGAATTTTTGTCTGTCTGTCTGTCTGTTACCGCATCACGAGAAAACCACTGGACAGATTTTGATGAAATTTGGTATGATGATAGCTGGATATCCGGGTCAACATATAGGATACTTTTTACCGCGGGAAAATATCTCATTTCTGAGAAAAAATACAAAAACTGCAATGTAAGTGTATACTAATACGTAAAACCTAAGAATTTGGTTTTTGGTGATCTGAACGCGGGCGGAGCCGCGGGCAATGCTAGTTCTATATATAAGGTGTCTTTTCCATTCTACGCGACATTGGCGAAGTAAATGGTGCCCAAACTGCACTCCTAGAAGCCATTGCATATAAAAATTGAATTGAATCGATTTTTCAAACGACGAAGATATCATAATTCATACACAAAAATATACAATTGAATTTAATAGAACTTTATTGAAGTCGGTCTCAAAACTTTACCCTCTGCCACGGTGAGGAAACCTGCATATCAGAGAGAAACTAGCAGGTTTCCGAAAGATATGTGAAGTCCGCCAACACGCAATTGGCTAGTGTGGTAGACTGTGGCTTAAACCCCATCAAAATTGAAGGGAGGCCCAGGGAGGTACCCAGCAGTGGATCTTTAAAAAGGAAATACAAAACTTTTATATGACAAAAATCTTATGGCTATTAAACGCGGAACAAGGGTTAATAGAATATTAAAAACATTGTTCTTACTTAAAATTTTATTGTCATATGAAAGTATATGAGATTCCTCTATTAGACAGTATACTTTTATATGATTTCTAATAACCCTATAGAAATATGTAGGTACCTATACCTATAAAAGTTCTATAATTTTAAGTAATTATTATAGAAATCATTCTTATAATATGTTAACAGAATTTATTGAAAGTTTTCTTTAATAAAACTCAACTCAACTATAAAAAACAACGCCTCTAAGAAACCTCTTCAAAATGTTTGAATTATTTTTTAACTGCATTTTCTAGTACCAAGATATAAAAAGAAAAGCATCGAACGCTCAATAGCAATAACTGCACAAGCGCTAATTAAACTCATTCTATTTGCACCGCATATCTTGCCACTAAAAATGGCATGCGCTCGATGCGTACGCGCATCTATTTGTGCGACGTGAATCAGTCAGTGTATGAATAACCACGGAATGAGCGATCGATATTTATACGCATGTAATCAAAAATGTGGCATTTTTTGTTTTAAAAAATTGACTAGTACCTACTTTGTTTGATTGATTATTGAGATTTTCGCATTCAATATAGCCAAAATATGTCCTATGCCCTATCCCTACCGATATTACATATCTCAGATAGTTCACGATCTTATTCCCTAGGGCGTTGTAGAGTTTTAAGATATAGTGAGTGTGAGTCTCACTCTTATAGAACTTAATCTATACTATAATAAAACAGTACAGGTCGAATGTCTGTACATAGCAAAAAAATGCTAAAAACCGAGTCAGGGGGGTGTAAGAAGACAAATAGAACATATCCAGATTTTTTTCATTTTTTTTGTTTCCTGTCTGTTTGTCTGTTTGTACGGGCTAATCTCCGAATCTATTGGACCGATTTAAATGAAATTTTGCATGGTGGTACCTTATATCCCCGGACAACATCTTAGATACTTTTTATCCCGGAAAATTAAATAGTTCCCGTGGGATAGTAAAAAACTTATACAACTTATGCACCTAATTTAGTAAAATTTAACATTCTGGTACCTTATATTGCCGGTCAAACAACAGGTTACTTTTCATTCGGGAAAAATGAACGGTTCCCGTGGGAACTAATAGATCTCTATTAGTGCTTTTCTTTTTTTATATTTATAATTTTTAATATTATTAATATATTTATATCTCTAATTTCTTTCTTTTTATAAGATAACTCTATTAATACAAATTAGTAGGCCCTACAAAATTTAAAGCTGAATTTCATTTTTTTTTGTCTCAATCGAGTTTATGATTAACAATTTGATCTCTCAGATCAGGTTGAATCATAGTGTAACCAACCATACCTAAATAAACACTAAGCAGTAAGACAAATAGAAGTCAATAGACTCGATTACATAATATAATTTACGTTTATGCCTCTTTATCATTAAATTTATGACTGATCATTGCAGCAATCTTCTAAAATTGCCATTATAAAGATTAGGTTGTGTATTTAAAAGTAATACATATGTATTTTTTGGTGATGACATACAGCTTCGAGTAGCGGAATGGCCTCTTTCTGGATCTTAGCTTTGGCCCTCTTTGCAGGTACATATATATATATAGCTTTGTTAGTCGATAATCATCTATTTATATTGAGTGTTGCGAAAAAAGAATGCAAAAATAATATTGTTTTTGAATCGAGTAACTCCAATATTCTTCGGTAAGATTTTTATAGTGATTGAGACACATTTCTTTATTGATGACGCCAATTTGCATTACTATTAAAATATGCATATATCCTACGAAAACAGCTTGAAGGGCTGAAATAATTAACTTTTATCCATTTCTATATTATAGACATTTCCAGGTATCAATACAATTGGTTGGAACTTGGGTCGCTAAGACGTTACAAACTTATGTCTACATTTTAATACGTCAAATTTTTAACGATTATTTGTTTATATTTTTCAGGAGCCCAATCAGCCTCCGCCTCTAGCCGCATCGTAGGCGGTAACCCCACGAGGGTAGAAGACTACCCCTCAATAGTTCAAGTGGAGTTCCAGAATATCTTCTCTCAGATATGGTCTCAATCTTGTGCTGGTAGCGTTCTTACAAGGTCATATGTCTTGTCTGCCGCTCAATGTTTTTCTGGAAGGTAAGTGTTTAATCTTATTGATGTTTTGGAAGAGGTGACCGATTTCTGTTCCCTTGGGTCCTATATAAAGTGTTCTGTATTTTCTGTTAAAAACTCTCTTTTGAGCCATCCATATTTAAGAAGCTGGCGGTAATAGACCCCTTGGAGTGTATGTAAAGCCTTTGATCCTATGTCTAATCTCTCTCTGGAATGTTGTTTCACCACTATTTTTTCTAGTTAGTTTCCTTGATATTGGTCACCGCATTTGTTATTTTGTTTATAAAAGCTAAAATTGCCTCATTTTTTTATCTATCAATTAAATATGTTAAATATAAAATTAAGGTAAGATTAACGTTTGTAAATCTAATTTAAAAAGTTTTAAATATCTAATTATATTATTTAATTAATACGACCGGACATCTTGCATTTTAATATTATATAATGAAAATTTAATACATTTTATTTTCCTTGTACAAAGTAAACTATGATATCAAACAGGTAAATTTAAAAGTTACCAAATTAAAGTTATCAAAGAATACTTTATCATATTTTTTTTTTAAATAAATAAGTTATTCATGTACTTAACGCTAAATTAAATAGTACCAAAAATATACCCTTGGGGAACACCCACCCTTAGATCTGGAAGATTTAGCATTATTTGGCATGACTTTTCCATTTATAAACTAGAACAGAATATTACTTGTAAATATCAGTAAAATGTGTTTAAAATATGTGTTTGAAGAATTTGCAAATTAAAAATGAAACTTAAGTTTTTTATTTTCAAAATGTATATATATAGGTACCGGTTATAAATTATTTTGATATCGAGAAGTTTTTAACAAGTTCCAATCTACATAATAATATTAATTAGATCACAAGCTTTAATGATTGAAGATAGGAGAGTTGATAAAGATTTTATTCGTATATAAGAATAAGGAAAATATTTCCAACGCAATTAAAGCCTTATGTTATACTGCAGTGAATATTTTTTTAATCGCTGTTCAATTCTGCTAAACGCTTGCTAAAAGTTGGTCATCAACAAAAGTAATATAGGATTATCATAATAGAATGGCATATAGTACCAATAAAGAGTGTACGTTCTGCACGCTTTCATATATTTTATTTAATATTTATTAAAATAACACTTCCAGGTAAATTTCTAAGAAATTTAATTAAAATTCTAAGAAATCTATTGTTAACTGACACGCCGGTGTGTCCGCGGTCGTGGAGGGATTATAAGAAAATGCGAAAGCTGGTTTACCCACGAAACCAACTGGCAAAAGTTAATAAGTTTTCCTATTTCAACAGCTATTACAGCCCTGAGCTACGTCGCATTCGAGCTGGAAGCAGCACTCGCAATGTCGGCGGTGTTATCGCCGACGTTCAAGTTGCTTTTAACCATGAATCTTTTGGTTCACTTGGTAGTGAAGGAGACTTAAGCGTGGTCAGACTGACCACTCCATTGATTTACACTCCTGTTGTGCAGCAAGCTAGCATCATCCGTCAAGGAACACATATTCCCGATAACTTACCAGTAACATACGCTGGTTGGGGTTTCACTACGGTATTTAATTTAATCTATACATATAATAAAATTGTAACTAAGCCGAATCTGTACATTAAATTTTTTTTGGAAAATATTATTGAAATAGACATTATTATCGATGCAGAGGCCGAATCTATAGTCTTTAGAATTTTTGTCTGTCTGTCTGTCTGTCTGTTACCGCATCACAGAAAAACCGCTGGAGGGATTTTGATGAAATTTGGTATGGTGATAGCTGGTTATCCGGGTCAACATATAGAATACTTTTTACCGCAGAAAAATATGTCATTTCTGAGAAAAAATACAAAAAACTGCAAGTAAGAATATACTAAAATGTAAAACCTAAGAATTTGGTTTTTGGTCATCTGAACGCGGGCGAAGCCGCGGGCAATGCTAGTCTTTATATATAATTTATCTGCCTTTGTAATTAAATGCAACTAACTGTTGATAAACTAGCGAGGATTTGCAAATTTTTTTATAATAAATATTGAGGTAATAGTTATTTTTTTAATGATGCGAAAGTAACATTTATTAGGTTTCTTTTTAATCGTGTGTTATATGAGATGAGTCTAATGGATTTTAATAGCTGTTATCGTACAAACACACACGTTTGGCCTAGTTTGTAGTGACCCTACTTTCTGTGCCAGCGGTTGCGGGTTCTAATCCCGCTGGGGGTATTCATTTGTGTGATGAGCACGAATGTTTGTACTCCAGTCATGGATGTTTATATTTATAATATTATGTATGTATTTAAAGTTGTATATGTGTAGTATATCAGCTATCTGGTATCCATAACACAAGCCTCGTAGCTTATTATGGAACTAGATAGCGCTATGTGTTAATGTCCCAACATATTTATTTATTTTATTTATATTTAATATACGAGTAGCTTTGTTTAGAAATATGCATATATAATTAATCATTTATTCGGAATTTTAGACAAACATTGGTGTTTTCAGGCGAGTGGCAATCCTTCTAGTGTTCTTCTCGTTACATCAGTTTTTACTGTCAACAACACAGTGTGTGCTGAAAGATACGCCTCTCTTCCTGAGGAGATACCTGTTACTAAAAATATGATCTGCGCTGGTCTCCTTGATATTGGTGGACGAGATGCTTGTTTTGGTGACTCTGGAGGACCCTTGTACTATAATAATGTCGTAATTGGTGTGATATCTTCAGGTATAGGTTGTGGTAACGCTACTTACCCTGCCATCAGTACGTCAGTCGCTTCATATACTAATTGGATTCAATCTATAGCAGTTTAACTAAAATAAATAATGTTATCATGTGTACTTTTTATTACTCAGCTTCGTCCTGTAATGACTAAAAATAGTTTTCATCAAAAGAAGAAAGATAGTGTTCACCAGAAGATAATGTACTATCTGTATTTTTTGTTATCTATACACATAATAAAATTCTAACTGAGTCGAATCTGTACATTAAATATTTTTTGGAAAATCTTATTGAAATAGTCATTATTGTCGATATAGAGGCCGGATCTATAGTTTTTAGAATTTTTGTCTGTCTGTCTGGGAACGCATCACGAGAAAATCACTGGACTGGATTTTGTTGAAATTTAGTATGAAGATAGCTGGGTGTCCGGGTCAACAAATAAAATACTTTTTACCCTCGGAAAAATATCTCATCTCTGAGAAATCGATACTAACCGTTAAAATGTAAGTACTAAGTAGAGACGAACCCGAGCGGATAAATTCATCGTGAGGTAATTTCTTAAACTTATTTTTAAAGTTATCACAACACTGTTCTTAATCTGATATCAAGCATATCTTATTGGGAAGAATTCTTTATTAACCCTAAAAAGCTATTTTAAGATATTATCAAATCAACTCTCGAATTTTATTATGGGATAGCGTAAAAGACTATATATATATGATACTACTTTTATTTAAGTTAATCGCATTACAAACATTAATTTATATTTCTAAGCCGAAATGTATGTTATTAAGACCACTCGTAAAATATTTATAAGTGACATACTATATTAAGCCACTGGAACCTCGATAAGATTGTGATTATTGACTAAAGATAATTTTTAATCAGTAAATTCTACTATTACAGCATGTTGAATGTTGATGTTGTAAGTTTACATAGGGGCTGCCTTGTTGGTTAAGTGGCTGGCATGCACGGCTACAGATCGGGAGGTCCTGATTTCTGGGTTCGTATCCCGGTTCAGGTCTATTAGTTACTGGGCTATTCTATCACAAAATACTTAGAGCAGCCCGGAGTCGGCAGTAGGCTTGTACTCCCTTGACTTAAAATTCAGTACTAATAATTTATATATGATTATTATGATAATTTATATAAGTATTAATAACTTAATGAAATATATTATTTTTATCAATAATTATTGGTAAAGATGATAAATTAAAGGCAAAACAATTTTCATAAACGTAAAAAATATTTTTCCAACAGTAAATCTAGGCAAATAGCATTAATTTGATTTTTTTATAAAATCTGTCATTATACTTAAAAATTTATATAGAACCAAACAAGGCGCTTCTGTTAAGGGGTTTATTTTAAACAGCATTTTCTAAAATCCAGTTAGTATAAGGGGCGACAGGTTTAGCGACGACGTTTCCATTCTATAAGACTGAGGACACAACTGCAACGGTGATACTGTACACATACCAGGGACTTCGAAGGTCTTGAATGGTACTTGCGAATCTGTACTTCTCTCCGCACAATAGTGACTTGAGGATAAATATTTCATCAATTTCAAGCGACTGTCTCCATTGTAAATTATTTTTATAAATAGATTAAATTATCTGGTAAAAATTAAATACAAGCGACTTACCCTCACTTGTTATGGGATCGTCCCTAGCCTTACATTGTATTTAAAATATTATGTACAGCAGCGTCTTCTTTTAGAAACTTTTTTACGAACCTATGATTTACTTCAGGTCTATCTCATATCATTCAGGCCATAGTGTACTAAATTTCATCCCAATCCATCCAGCCGTTTCAGAGTCAAAGAGTAACGAACATATAGACAAACTCACATACAAACTATCACATTTAAAATAGTAGTCGAATTCACTTACAACGCCCATAGATCCCCAGCCAGCCTGAACTACAGGGAATCCCAGAGGAAGAACAGTAGCAGGATCCGCAATTGGACTATTTTGTACGAATTCTCCATAAACCAGTAAGCTGCTCAACCTCACAACTGATATGTCATGATCGTTATAGCCAACAACGTAATTAGGATGATTTATTTCTCTTTGAACATACACGCCTTGACCTCCAGTGTTACGCGGCGCAGTGTTAGTAGATGAACCAGCGCGAATACGACGAAGCAGTGGACTATAACATCTGAAATACAGTAGATAATTGTAGATACATTCACGTAAAAATATAAAAGGTATCCCTTTTTATTTTGGTAATAGATAGTTACAAATTGCTTTATAATAAAAAAAAACTTATTTTTCCTAGTTTAAAAGAAAATTTGTTTAGATTGACTATTTGGAATGTATTTTTTTTTTAAACCTAACACTTTATTGGATATAACAACTCACGGTCCAGAGACGCACTTGGCTGCGGATAGTACATATTATCTATTGTTAAGGATTATACCGCTACATTTTTGAACCCAAGAAAAATCTGTTCATTCACGAATTCCACTTGCTCTATAGAAGGAAATCTTTGCAAAGCTGCTGAGCGTTCTTCAAAGGCGGAGACAGTTTCTATGAAAAAAAAACATACAGATTCATCTTTAAAATTCAATTAATATATTTAGGAGGCCTATTGCCAAAACACTGGTCATTTTTTGCCTGAAATGTTGGTGACCATTAAGTAAAATTAATGTCTTAAATCTATAGAGCGTACCCACTAAAAATAAGGCTATGCTTATTATCCCGATTAGTGCCATTCTTAGAAACTATTACAAGTTATACATTTTTCAATTTATATATTATTTATTATATCAGTTCTTATCATATGTGATAAATGTTAAATAATAAGTACGCTTTGGTACGTAAATCCCGGCTTTAAAACTGACTATCATTTTCTCCGCTTTAATCTCACATTTAACCCGAAATGGGTTTTTATCAATTAAGTATTTTGTAGTGTCTCAACTCATTTGAATTTGACTGTTTTGAATTTAGCAGATATTAATAATAATTCTTCATATTAATTTGTGGTCAATTTTTCAAACGTCAAAATACCAAAATTGGTGGAACCAAAAACTGCCTTTATAATGGACCATTTTAAATATTTTTAATGTAAGATCCATAAAAAAATAACAAAATACCATTTTAAAGCTGGTCACAGTATATTCACTAAAATATACAAAAACATTTGCTATAGATTGTTTTTAGATAATTTTTTTATACATGTTAGCCCTTGAATTTGCTTAACCTTAAGGTCTTATATTTATTTTATTTTTTAATTATATTTGTTTGCTATAGAACCGAATATAATGGCCAAGATTAAATTAAATTTATAATATAAACGCTCTATATCAAACAAGTTTATTTTAAATACCTTTTAATTCAATTAAATTTTGTTTTAAAAGAGTCTTTATATGCCAAGAAATCATTTTCATGATCCCAAATACGCCACAGTGCGAGCAAAAAATTAAAAATTCAACCGCTATATAAAAATTGAAATGGTTTCTTTTTTTTATTTGTTAATTTAAAGTATAGAAAAAGGTTTATGTAATGGCTAAAGTAATATGTAATTCTGGATAAATTCATCGTAATTTCCAAATTTTGTTTCTTAAACTTATTTTTGAAGTTATCATGACCAGTGTCGTGATCTGATTGCTTGATGTCTTGTTGGGAAGGTTCGAAGTTCGAACAGTCTTTGTAAAGTAAATTGGTCTAATCTATTGCATGGAGGGTTATTTTACATGAATGGTCTTGTAATCCGAATTGTATGTTTTTAATTTAAGCCTACTCGTAAAATCTTTGTAAGAGATATATTAAGCTACTGGAATCTCGATAAAAATGTGATTACTGATTAGAGATAATTATTTTAATTATTAAATTCTACTTCTTTTACACCATATTGATATTGATGTTATCACATAGGGTCTGCCTTGTTCCCGGGGGAGAAGCCAACTCCTACCGGGCGCGTCCCCAGGTGGCGGATAGGGGAATGCCACCCGCTTAGGGCGGCGGGTGGTACCGGAGAAATCCGGCGCGGACCAAATGGCTTGGGTGGGGCCGCTCGTCTAGGACTCGAGCCGAAGACGTTGCGGCCACCGGTGGTGGGATCGCTTGGTCCCACAACCGGATGATGGGTGCCGGTTGCGGGACTGTGGTCGCAGGCCCGCATCCGGCGGAGGAGTAGGCCGCGGCGGGAGAGGAGTGCCGGTATTTCGGTGCGCCGTTCTCCCTACCTTCCGCGGCCTAGACGGGGCCGCCACCGTTTGATGGCGGACGCGGTGGGGCTGCAGAGGAAGAGGAGTGTCGGTGTTTCGTTGCCGCTCTCCCTGTCCTCTGCAGCCGATTGGAGGTGGCCCACTTCGGTGGGCGGTGGTTAGGTTTAATGGGGCTGCTCCGGGTACCTTTCTGGCGTAGCAGAGTTGACTGTGGAGCAGCCCCATTGGTTTGGTGGTCTGCCTATTTAGGCAGACCTGCCACCGGGGCGCCGTAGTAGTTATGCGCAAGCGATCCTGCGGCGTCCCATTAAGGCGGAGGGGAAGGGAATGTCGGGTTTTAGTGGGTAGTACCGGCTCTTCTAGCCGGTGAGCCCCACATCACCACCTGGGGGATCAGGTGGTATGCGTAAATGCATTTCCCGACATAAAAAAAAAAAAAAAAAAAAAGGGTCTGCCTTGTTGGTTAAGTGGCTAGCATGTACGGCTGCAGATCGTAAGTTCCTGATTCCTGGGTTCGCGTTCCGGGTCTGGCCTGTTAGTTACTGGGTTATTCTGACACGAAATACTTGGAGCAGCCCGGAGTTGGTAGTAGGTCAGGTTTGTACACCCTTGACTTAAAATTCAGTATAAAACATCAGTATACAAGTATCCAATTAATATTTTAATTTAATTTATTATTTTTCATCAATAATTATTTGTATGGATGAAATGATATGAAATAAACTTTATTCAATTAGACTTATTACAAGTACTTTTGAATCGTCAATTTAATGAAAGCGTCAGTGTAGTTAGTCCGTGAGTAAGCTTCCACCGGCTCGGAAAGCAGTTCTGCTGAGAAGAACTGGCGAGAACTCAACAGTTGGTCTTTTAAATATAGGTTACATTTATTTTATTAACATAAATTTATAGATAACCTGTATATGAGTCAATATCCCTCAATTCCACGCATTTTCATCAACAAAAAACTCTTGAACAGCGCCTTGCTCAATAAAACATTTTTAATATTATCTTTAAATTTATTGAAAAGGTAAATCTAGGTCATTTTGTGGATGTTGTGATGATAAAATTAAGGCAACACAAACAAATTTTATACACGTAAAATACTTATTTCAAACAAAAACAGTAAATCTAGACCAATACCATTAATTTGAATTTTTAACGTATAAAATTTATTGAAATAAAATAAAAAAATATTTTATTCAGCATTAAATTATTACAATATTTTACTGGACGTCATGAGTCTACTACCAGTTCGGAAGAAAGAAGCCTCAGACCTGAGAAGAACTGGCGAAAGTAACTCAGCGGGACCAATATTATTTCATTATCTTTTTTTATAGAGTTAAATTATAAATTACAATATTTCTTTCAAATTGAAATAGCCTGGAGGCGATCACTTCATTCCTAAGGCGTACCATATTCTATAAAATCATTAATTGTATAATAGCCTTTAGCACACAAACGTTCTTTAAAAATTCTTTTGAATTTGGCGATAGAAGCTTTTTGAACATTTTCTAGGATCCTGTTGTATAAGCGTATATATTGTCCATAAAAAGAATTACTGACTCTGTGTAGACGACATTACAAGTTTGTGTTATGTACGATGTACGTATGTGTATGTCTAAGTGTTTATGTATGTATGTATGTATGTGTGTATTATTACTTATACCTCAACATTTTATAAAACAAAACAAGGTTCTTCTATTGACGAATTTTTATTTAAACAGCATTTTCTAAAATCCAGTTAGTATAAGGGGCGACAGGCGTAGCGACGACGTTCCTATTAAAGGTTGAAGACACAACTGCAACGGTGATATTGTACACATACCAGGGACTTCCAAGATCTTGATTGGTACTTGCGAATCTGTACTTCTCTCCGCACAATAGCGAATGCCCCGAAGGGTCTTCGGGTAACTCACAGTCACTGTTATTGAGCATAAATATTCCATCAATCTCAAGTGCCTCTGTCAGCTGTAAATAAATTTTATAAATAGTTTAAAATATCTGGTAAATATTCAATACAAGTGACTAACCCTCGCTTCATATAGGTTCGTCCCTAGGCTTCTTTTGTATTTAAAATATTATGTACAACAGCGCCACCTTTTTACTTCAGATCCATCTACTATCATTCAGGTCATAGTGTACTGAATTTAACCCCAATCCAACCAGCCGTTTCAGAGGGAAAGAGTAATGAATATACACACAAACACACATACATAAAAATATTGATATCAATAAGCCCGAATAAACCAGGAGGAAAGAGAAGACACCACTTAAATAGATCACTTTCACCATTTTCATTACCTTACCCAAACTTTCACGTTTAAAATAGTATTCTTATTCACTTACAAAGCCCAGAGATCCCCAGCCAGCCTGAACTACAGGGAATCCCAGAGGAAGAACGGTAGCAGGATCCGCAATTGGACTATTTTGTACGAATTCTCCATAAACCAGTAAGCTGCTCAACCTCACAACTGATATGTCATGATCGTTATAGCCAACGACGTAATCAGGATGATTTATTTCCCTTTCAACATACACGATTTGACCTCCAGTGTTACGCGTGGATGAACCAGCGCGAATACGACGCAGCTGTGAATTGTAGTATCTGAAATGCAAGAATTGTAGATACATTCACATAAGAAGATAAAAGATATACCTTTTTGCTTTGAAATAGATAGTTATATATTAATATTGCTGTATAATGAAAAAAAACTATTTTTTTATAGTTTATAACAAAAATTGTCTAGATTGACTATTTGGAATTTTTTTAAACTTGATTCTTCAGTGGGTTAAAATATAATAACTCACGGTCCGGAGAAGCACTTGGCTGCGGATAGCACATATCTATTGTTAAGGATTATACCACTACATTTTTGAACCCAAGCAAAAGTCTGTTCATCCACGAATTCCACTTGCACTATAGAAGGAAACCTTTGCAAAGCTGCTGAGCGTTCTTCATAGGCGGAGACAGTTCCTATGGAAAAAAACCAGATTCTAACACATTCACTTTTAATATTCAATTAAAATATTATAAGAGACCTAATATCAATAATGGAAATTTTTCAGTTAAAATATTGGTGATCATTAAGGAAAATCGATGACTAAAATAAATTAAAGCGTACCCAATAAGAATAAGGCTATGCTTATTACCCCGATTAGTGCCATTGTTAGAAACTATCATAAGTTATTAATTTTTCAACTTATATATTAATTATTATATCAGTTGCTATCGCTTCTGATAAATGTTAAATGATAAGTTTGATTCGGTCATAATTTAATCTCACATTTAGCCATTGGGTTTAACCAATGGGTTTTTACCATTTTATTACTATTCTTTATTGCACTTAAAAATCAATACAGTAATTTAAAAAAAAGCAGTAGTTTAAAGCAGATATTAATAATTTTTCATTTTTTTTGTGGTCAATTCTTCAAAAGGGTTTTCGAAGAAGTGGTCAAAATACCAAAACTGGTAGAACCACAACATCCCTGCTTAAGAACCACTGTAAACATTTTGAATGTGAAGTTTTAAGAAAAATATAAAAAAATGTAAAAGTACAATTAAATTAATAATTAAAAAATCTCACAAAAAAATCTCAATGCTATATTGTTTTTAGATATTTTTTATACATGTAAGAAGTAAAAAAAGTCCTAAAGTAGTGTTAAGAAATCATTTTCATAACTCCAAATACACCACAGTGCGAGCAAAGATTTAAAAAATATTGATATCAATAAGCCTAAATGAACCTGAAGGAAAGAGACGACATCACTTCGTTAGACCACTATCATCATTTTCATTACATAGCACTTGATTTTAAGTAATCATTTTAGAGGGAACAAATATAGTTAAAAATTAATGAAATTAAATCTAAAATTGACGCCGTTGCCTGTGGAGAAAATAAATAAAAACATTCATAAATAAAACATACAAACAGACGAACATAGAACATCCTCCGCTTTGGAAGTCGGTTAAAGATGGTAGTGGTAAAGAAATAGGTATTATTTATGGGAAAAAAACATTCTTAGTACTTAGTTCAGTTACTGCTACCACAATTCATTCTACAATTAAGTAAATAAGCAAAATTCTGAAATTTTTTACAATATTGAAAATTTTCAATGATAGATAGATAGATAGATGCTTTATTGTACACCACAAATAAATATACAAAAGAAGATATAAACAATAGATGATGCACAGCAGGCGGCCTTATCGCTATAAGCGATCTCTTCCAGGCAACCTTAGGGCGTAGGAGAAATTATATGAAATGGTAGGCGGTGTACTTACTACACACAATTGCATATCCTAAATACAGATATACATAAATACATACATAATACATACATACATACATACATAAATACATATATACATACATACATATGTACATACATACATAAATGTAGATCAGATGAAAAAGTATAAAAATTTCAATATAAGATACTATAGAGACAAATAGTATGATTTTAACTGTACCTTAAAATTATCAAAACTTTTGGCACGCCTGATGTCTATTGGAAGATTATTCCATAAGCGTGCAGCCTTTACTGCGAAGGAGTTGGTAAGGAAACAGGAGGAGTGTGAAAGAATTTTAAGCAACAACGTTTCAGTTTTTATCGTTTTTTACATTTTTCATCGTTTATGCAGACTTATGTCCGATTTCACCAAGATCCCATAAGCTACCATCTACGTATGGGATCCCTAGCTTAAAAGTCCGCTAAACTGGCCCCTAAATTAAATTTCGTTTTACCATCGTCAGAGTCCGTATTTCTAGTACCTATATTTAGGTGACATTTTAACATTTAGGTGACCCCTAACTGTCGGTGAAACAGAAAACTGTCCCCTAACAGCCCCCTAATCATGCTTAGGGGATCCCTTAAACTTAGGAGACGTTGGTGAAATCGGCCATTAGTCCTATTTAATATTGTTTCTTATTTTTGGGGTCGCATAAATATCGAATAGAAAAATGCACTTTCAGTTTTTCCAATTAACTTTTCCAATTTTATTTTCCATGAATTTAGTCGGATTACTCCGAAAATTAAAAAAAAACGCTTACTCGATCTAGCTACTTTTAAGTGATGTGCTTACCATTTATACTATTTTAAGTATTATTAATAACTAAATTAGGCATTTTACTTATTTTTATTTGTCTAATTTGATCAAAGAATAGATAAATTGAAGATACAGAACACTCAAAGATATTACTGTTTCAAAAGTGTTTAAATTATTTCAATCAAATTAGGTACATTTAACTTTTGAGATTCTTAAGTTAAGTTGAATTTATATAATCTATACATATAATAAAATTCTAACTTAGTCGAATTTGTACATTAAATATTTTTTTAAATCTTATTGATGTAGTCATTATTATCGATACAGAGGCCTAATATATAGATTTTAGAATTTTTATCTGTCTGTCTGTCTATCTGTGAACGCATCACGAGGAAACTACTGGACAGAATTTGATGAAATTTAGTATGATGATAGCTGGTTATCCGGGTCAACACATAGGATACTTTTTACTGCGGAAAAATATCTCATTTCTGAAAAATCTATACTAACAGTCAAAACGTATAATAGGGACGAACCCGAGCGGAGCGAGGGTGAGTCGCTAGTTTAAAATATAATAATATTGAAAGCCTCAATCTTTAAAGTGAGTTAAAGCGATATCTGTTTACTTACCACAGAATTACATCGTTCTAATCCCTCAGGTTAGTTAAATTAAGTGTAACTAGATGGCGTTGAAATTTCACTTTTAGGATAAATTTAGGAATAATATTAATTTAGATAATTTAATAAAACTATTGTATTAAGAGTTATAGTATATAAGTTATATATATATATATACATTATAAATTTCTGTAACAGTAGTTTCTTGTTATTTTTTAAATGTTTTTGTATTCTTTGCTGTTTTGCATATATGTATTGCTATTTATTTTGCACATATGAAATTTGAAAATCGTTAATTCTGCAATAAATAAAAGGAAATAAATCGGGATTAGCACTTCGGACCAACATCGTGACACGGGAATTATATATACTAAGAGAACTCTATTAGTCCACCTTTAATTCCTGAGAAGGAGAAAAGAAAATCGATAAGAATAAAAATAACTTTTTTATTTCTAATCTAAAGCAAAAAGTTTTTAAGACGAATGTTCGCTGTTAAAACTTTAGTCCGCTGAGGTGGTATGTCTAGAACTTATTATAGAGCTCAATAAAAGGTTAAATAACTTTAAAGTCATTAAAACTAAAATTTTACAGGTTATGATTTAAGTATTTTGATTTATTTAAAGTCTTTGTACAGTCTATTCGACGACACGTTTGGCTCAGTTTGTAGTGACGTTACTTGCTGTGCTAGCGGTCGCGGGTTCGAGTCCCGCTGGGAGCATTCATTTGTGTGATGAGCACGAATGTTTGTACTCTAGTCGTGGGTATTTAAAGTTACATATGTGTGTAGTGTATCAAGTATCTAGTATCCATAACACAAGCCTCGTAGCTTACCATGGAACTAGATGGTGCTGTGTGTTAATGCCCAAAAAAAAAGAGTCTATTAGTTTTTTTTTTAAGAAAAATGGTTGCCAATTCTACACTAATATTATTATAAAGATACTTTATACGACTAATATTATAAAGAGGTAAAGTGTGTATGTTTATAATCTCTGAAACTGCAGTTTTTGAAAATTCATACAATCATAGGAAGCTTCGTTAGTGACGAGTGCTATTGGTTATATTTTATCCAAATAAAAATGTATTTTGCTCTTCAAAATCATACTTAATTGAAACCAAAAAGAGGGATTTTTTTTCGGCTAACAATGTATGAAATTAGACAAATAATTAAAACGAAATTAAAAAAAAAACATGTAAATGTTTTTAGCTTAAAAATATATTATATTTTTGTATATAAGCAAAAAGAAACTATGTGAGCTAATTTATTCGTATTTTTCAATATCTACATATTATGAAATTATTTATTTGACTCGAGCTAGAATCGAATCGATAATCTATTGTATAGGGTATAGCCACATTTGAGAATTTAAAAGAGAATTTTCGGTACTTTTAATTACTTTTAGTAGTGACAAAAGTTTAATTTACAATTTTTATAAAAAGTTTAATGATTCAAAAATAAATTTTAGGTTAAATATTAGTATCTAGACAGCTTCCCCGGGTTCGATCAATAGCCCCAAGAAAGCGTGGGTAAGGCGCATGCGTGGCGGCCATTAGTACAAAAACGTCTGAGAATTGAAAACAAAGAGTAAATATTGTTAAAAAATGAGTCCTGAAAGAGAAGCTCATGGTAATTATAATATAATTTTATGTGTTTTCTAAAGATATTGCAATAAGTGTGTGGTGAAATGTAGAAAATTGCTTTAATTTCGTATCCCTGTTGATTTTATGTGAACGTTTTGGGATACATGTGATGGAGTTTCGTGCACAGTTTGTTTATGTTTCAAAATTTGCCTTAATTTTAAGAATATATCAAGATATGAAACGTGTGTGTTTAATATGAAAATAACAAAAGTGTGCTGTTTTTTTTTGTATTTCCTGAATAAGTCAGATATTGCATTGAATTATTATATTATCTGGAAGCATTGTGAAAATGTATTTATTTACGGTATATATTTCCATTTCAGAGTCCGAGGACGTGTTAGAGTCTATAGATGAGTTAAAAGAGCGGCTATCGTCAATGAAACGTATGATGGAAGAGAGAAAGGCAGCAGGATCTGGTACCAAGGATCTTTTCCAAGGTCACGCCCAAAGTCTCCAAGGGACAACCATGATCGATGGAAACTTTCTCAGTTTCGTCTTCGGAGGATCCCTCGTTGTCATCCTCAGTGTATCAGTTTATGCCTTCTACAACTTGTATCATGCTGTTTTAAAAAAATTCCCATCAACTCACACGGAGTTGTAATTTGAACTTTAATTCGTAGTTCTAAGGTTCATATCTCAATTGAAGTTCTTCTCTTTGTCTCGCACAGGTTTAATATGAGAGAGAGGGACAAAATATCCTTAAAGTAGCTTCGGCCAAACGCTAATGTTAGAATTGTTTAATGCCAATAAAATATGATCAAATCTCTTTGATAAACTGATTTGTGTTTTATTTCGCACCTAAGTGTACTTGCTTATTTATTAGTATTTTAAAACCCCATAGATCTAAGGACCTGGATACCATCTAGGTTTTGTACTAAACCTAGATGATATCCAGGTGTAAGTTTGTGTGTACTTTACAGTATGTACCGTTTTAAGTAAGTTTATCATAGAGTAGTTCTTTTTTTCTGCACCAACCATAATCCATGTCACCCTATGAGTTTCTTTATAATATGGCCGCCTTTACACTAACATATATTTGTAAAGTTATCATATATATTGTATTTTTATATTTGGTGTAATAAAGGATTAATAAATAAATAAATAAACCTAGGTCGACTCTATCTTTATGTATATTTGTTTTATCTGTAAATAACTATTTCTTGTAAACCGTAAAAGGCATTTCATGTTTCATAGAACATGTATTATTACGACAGATTTCCTAAGGAATAATAAAAACAAATGATAAAACTGAAAGGGGCTGGAGTTAGGAATGTTATTTTTTATATGACATTTTTGTCTTCAATAATTGGGGTTTAGATTTTTAATTATTGCTTAATGCTTAGTTAACCAAAAGAATCTGTAAAAAAACTTTTTTTTAATAGTAAAAAAACATGTAATATATAGAAAAACATGTAAAAGTGTAGACTTTAGAAAAATACTTTAATTTTGAGTAAAATGGGTACTGTTATTCATTTGAATAAGTCAAATCTTTGCAGTTTTTGTTTCAATCAGTATCACTAACAGCAAATTAGGAAATATAAGTAAACTAGCATTGCCCGCGGCTCCGCCCGCGTTTAGATGACCATAAACTAAATTCTTAGGTTTTACATATTAGTATACCCTTACAATGCAGTTTTTGTACTTTTTCACAGAAATGAGATATTTTCCCGCGGTAAAAAGTATCCTATATGTTGACCCGGATGACCAGCTATCATCATACCAAATTTCATCAAAATCTGTCCAGTGGTTTTCTCGTGATGCGGTAACAGACTGACAGACAGACAAAAATTCTAAAAACTATAGATTCGGACTCTGTAATGATGTCTATTTCAATAAGATTTTCCAAAAAATATTTAATGTACAGATTGGACTTAGTTACAATTTTATTATATGTATAGATATAATATTTTGAACATATAAAAAAGCTTAGATATGTATTTTTTATACATTTTTTAATCATTCAGCTTTTAGTTTTCTAAAAACATAAACAATTAAAGAATGTTTCATACCTAAGCCCTCTGGGGAGTTACGTAGTTGTTGTACAATCGCTTTCTTTAAAAGTAATCTAAATAATAACCTAAGAAATAAAAATTTATTACCTATTATGAAGTCTTTACAATCCTTATTTATACTTAGTTTATAATTATAAAGCCAAATATTATTCATTGCTTGAATTTCTTTTCAGCAGGGTTTTTTTTGTACAAGAAATATTATGGTGCAGCGCGTGTACGCGCAGACATAACGTGCACTCTCTATTCCGACACGACCAGTGAGAGTTGAGGTGCAGGACCGACGGCTTTACGTTCTCTCCGAGACACGGGGGTGAAACACCGCCAACTTCCCAACTCCGGGCTGTTACTGAGGCTTACTATACAGAAAGACTCAATAACTAAACTTGGCCCGATCCGGGACTCGAACCCAGGACCTCCGGGTGTGCAGCCGTACATGCTAGCCACTACACCACCGAGGCAGTCAAATTATTATACAAATTAAAATTAGAATAATTAAAATACAAATTACTTCATTTAAAGTCTAAATAAAAAATAGTTAAATCTATAAGTTACAATGGTCCTTGCAGGTGTCGACATGCAAAGCTTTCGCCTAATGAAATTATCGTATAATTTATCATTTTCTATTTCGCGAAAGTCCTTATTTGTGTTTTTGTTGACTGTATTCAAATTACTGACAAATTTTCGTGACTAATATTTGAAACTACCTAGTGACTCATCCTCACTTTACGTGCAATATTAGTGCAAAATCATACTCTCTTTTATCTATACTAATATTATAAAACTGTTTGGTTGTTTGTTTGAACGCGCTAATCTCAGGAACTACTAATCCGATTTGAAAAGTTCTTTATGCATTGGATATCCCATTTATTGAGGAAGGCTATAGGCTATATATCATCCCGGAAAATGTACGGTTCCCGTGGGATAGATTTGTTGTTCGATATTAAAGTATTTGTATGTACATATATATTAGTGTTTGCCCAATGGTCAAAATTTGACTATAATCATTATATAAAAAAAACTATTTCCAAATTCTTTTATTGAAAAGACTTAAAGCTCGTCAATAGCTACTAAACAAAAAAAAAAAGTTACTAAACAAAAAAAAAGGTAGTGCTGTTTTGTCTTTGCCTATTTATGTATAGAGGTAACATAAAATGTATGTAATATGTATTCAATATAAATTTTAGTAAAATTTTATCTATCTATACATATAATTAAATTCTATTATCTTATATATACGGGTGAGTCGCTAGTCTATATATAATTTTAATATACGCTAGAACTCCAATTGATGTCCACTGCAAAAAAGTGTTCAATTCAATGGGATATTATTTTCATAGAAATACACGAGTAAACCTGCAGCTAGATACTAGTTTTTGGATATCTATCTAGTATTATTTTATTTGATGTTTTCGTGAAATTCCAAAAATTGTCATGTCGCCTAACAAACTCATACATAGATGAGTAAAGACACGCAATGAGAAATGTAATTATTTTCTAAAAGCTTCGATATTTAATCAATTAAGAACATTTGACTGAATACGAAATTGTTTTTTAATGGACAGGCTAGATATAACACATAGGTTTATTGGTAACTAGCATTGCCCGCGGCTCCGCCCGCGTTCAGATGACCAAAAACTAAATTCTTAGGTTTTACATATTAGCATACTCTTACATTGCAGTTTTTGTATTTTTTCTCAAAAATATGACATTTTCCCGCAATGAAAAGTATCTTATATGTTGACCCGGATAACCAGCTATCACCATATCAAATTTCATCAAAATCCCTCTAATGGTTTTTCTGTGATGCGGTAACAGACAGACAAAAATTCTAAAAACCATACATTCGGCCTCTGTATCGATAATAATGACTATTTCAATAAGCTTTTTCAAAAAATGTTTAATGTACAGATTCGACTCAGAATTTTATTATACTCGTATGTATAGATTTTACCTCCTTAGGAGAATGTTCTTGAAAAAGATTATATAACTAACTTTTTCTTATAAATTCTCTAAGTAGATTTTTTTATGTTCTACGTGCAAGAATGCCGAATTTCCATATACGGTTTTTTTTGGTGATGTGGGGCTCACCGGCTAGAAGAGCCGGTACTACCCACTAAAACCCCACATCCCTTCCCCCGCCTTAGTGGGACGCCGCAGGATCGCTTGCGCATAACTACTACGGCGCCCCGGCATTCCCTTATCCGCCACCTGGGGACGCGCCCGGTAGGAGTAGGCTTCTCCCCCGGGGTATACGATTATACCTTAACTCCTTTAGAATATGAATGTTCAAAGATCCTCTTCCAGCCTTCAACTTCCCTATATAAGAAACTTTTGTGTCGACATTATACGTGCATAATTTCAGACTTAGACTTTACACTGTACTTTAGTCAGTTGTTAGATTGTTATTAAATAGAAGATTAATTTATATTACTAACTTTTGTATACGGCTTTTCTTGCCTGTATAGTATATTTGTATATGGCTGTTTAGTCTACATAATAATACCTGAATAAACTGCGTTAGTGGTCTAGTGGTGGAGGTCCTTGATTCGAGCCCCGAGATGATAGCTGGTTATCCTGGTCAAGGTATAGGATACTTTTTACCGCGGGAAAATATATCATTTCTGAGAAAAAATACAAAACTGCATTGTAAGAATATACTAATATGTAAAACCTAAGAATTTGGTTTTTGGTCATCTGAACGCGGGCGGAGCCGCGGGCAATGCTAATCTTAAATATATTTTTTCCTTATGTTTTTATTTGTCTTTTAAAAAGAAAACGCTTGTCAAATATTAAAAGATGTTCCAAACTTATAATGAGCTTTAAACTGAATTCAGAACAACTTTGACAAGTTAGATTATTAATTTTAATTTAAAAAAATAAACATATTCTATAGAGGATAGAATAATTAATTATATATCGATTTTAAAGTGATTTTGAAATGTACATAGATTTTTAGAAGTGAGTAAGACAAGTTATTACAGTAATCCCGAATTTTATTAGATGTATATAATTAATAAGATTAAGAAGTAGAATTTTACAGTATCTAGTATACATCTTTATATATATAATTCTTCTGTGGGTGTGTATGTCACTGAACTTCTCTCAAACGACTGGACCGATTTTGATGAAATTTTTTGTGTGTGTTCAAGGGGATCTGGGAATGGTTTAGATTCACAATTTAAATAATAATTTTCATCAAAAAAATTATTAAAAAAAGTTTGAAATTTTCTAATTAAAGACGTGTAGACAGGACAACGTCTGTCGGGTCCGCTAGTACAATACGCTATAAATATGTTGGGACATTAACACGCAGCGCCATCTAGTTTCATGGTAAGCTACGAGGCTTGTGTTATGGATACTAGATAGTTGATACACTACACATATATGACTTTAAAAATATACATATTGTAAAGACTCCATGACTGGAGTACAAAAGCTCGTGCTCTCCACACAAATGAATGGGACTCGAACACGCGACCGCTGACACACTAAGTAGGGTCACTAGTCACTACAAACTGAGCGAAACGTGTCGTCAATATGTACCAACATACATACATTGATGTTTTCCCAGACAGACAGACAAAAA